TGTCCTGTATACTAGATTTTTCATAATCTTTTTCTTCAGTACTAATTTCTTGGAAACATTTGTCCTATTTTAAATTATCTCCTACTCCATCCATATAGTTCTCTCTAAACCAACTGTACATATAATAAACTCCTAACCACCAACTCAAGTGTATAAGAAATGTCCTGGTTTGAATTCAAATCTTCTTCATATTAGGCTAGTGGGAAATTCTTTCACAGTCATTAGATGGGTAGTACAGGGACCTCCTTTTCCCAGGGCATGAATGAGATCCAGGCTCATGTGGTACCTAGATAATTGGCACTCACATTTTCAGTTTATCTGTAATATCCTCATTGTCTTAGACACATGGTCTTTTGGAAGCCAACAGCACTGCTGCCTATCCAAACTTGAGTTAAGATATATTTTCTGATGCCAGAGGCCCTGGTGCCAAGGGATTGGCTTCCCTAAGTACACCATCATGAAGCTATCACGTAGAGGTGGGCAGGTTGTTCTCTATGTGGAGGTGCTTGACTGGAGGAAAGATAGAGCTGTTCTACACTTACCGCGCTGAGTTCTCTTGGGGCCGAATTAGCCCAGAAGGATTGCTTTTCTCTAATTCCTACAGAGGCCCTTAGGTGGTCAAGCAGTGACCCTGATTACCATTTGCAGAAAGCACACCATCCCCTCACCTTCCCTTCAGGCTGAAAAAAAGGTGGTTACAGATGTTGAGAAACTTGGTTCCCTAATTTTGGGGGAAAATCTTCTCTCTCTTCTTTGGTTTCTGTCTTTTTAAAAATACTAACCTTTGACGCTGCTTTTCCTGGACATTTAATATAATCTCCTGTGTGTTTACACTTTCACAAAAGACAGAAAAAGAGGATGTCTTCAACAGGTTTCTGCTCTGGGCCCTGCAAATGTTCTGGAAATGCCTGACTACTCCCTTGAAATTGGAGGGGTACAGGGTGGGAGGCAGAAAATAAAGAGAGCAAAACACAGAATTCTTATCTCAGTAAATTTCAAGTGAAATATTAAGCTTAAATTTTAATTAATAAAGTTTAAAATTTTAATTTTGAAATGGTTGTATAATGTCCATTGTACAAAATTTACACGATATCTATCTTTAGTAGGAAATTACAAATAAAATCTATGGGAATTACGGAAATTGATGAGTTTATTACCTCCCTTCCAGCATGATAGAAATTATTTAACTGAAAGTTTAACATAGTCTAGTAAGACTTAAAAGTTTTAAATTGCTTCCTTTGTACCTCTTGTTAAAAATTTCTTATATTATTTATGTGTAATTTTACTCCATTTAATTTCAAGTTGGATTAACTAAATTTATACTTAAGTTGAGCTATCAATATTAAAGTAACAGAATAAATTCATAGTAAATTCAACTGTTTAAATAAAGTGGGCCAGGAACAAAACATATTTCTGTTAATTTAATATGGAACTTATAAAAAAAAAACAAGAAGATTTCCATTTTGAGCAGATATATTTTGGACAATTTATTTAGCTGAATAAAATGACAGATGTAGAAGATAACAGAAAAATGTACAAAATCATAAGAACTTTGGGGCTGTATAAGGAGGACTGAAGACTTTCTTTTTTATGAAAATTGCCATGAAATTCACTTGTTCCATTTCTGCTTTCTAGACGTGGCCTCAAGAAAGAGTATTTTAAAAATATTTTTATTAGGTAATATGTATCTCTGATTTATAATACAAATGACTGATCTCCCAAATTTTAAAACTTGGGACAAGCCTAGCATCTAAAATTCAGCCATTATACCTCAAAAGACTAGGAATAGACTTACCATATGACCCAGGAATCCCACTCCTGGGCTTCTATCCAGAAGGAAATCTACTTCAGGATGACACCTGCACCCCAATGTTCATAGCAGCACT